AAATCCATAATGGCTTGCAATTGATTGCAAAAACCATGACAAAAGGGTCAGCTATAGTTTATGCTTGTGGATGTTTAAGTAAAGTAATTTCTCTGTATTTGTAACCCAGGGAATGGTCTCTAAAGAGCTATATTCAACAGTGAACTGCAAGTCCTTGAGTTCCTGCTACCACTTCCTGTAAAGGAGAAGTCAACAATGTAACTAGCACCAGTAGGAGAGGGACAAACACCAGCCAAAAAATTATGTGGGAATCTGAGAGAGAATATTCTCAGTACTGGTGCCCTAACTCTGGAATTTCTGCTTTCTTCTTATAAACCTTGTAAATTCTCAAACCAGCTAAAATCTTACTTGCTTTAATTGAATCTGTACTGCTATGTTTCTTGTTGCTGTTCTCATTGTCCTGAAAAATATTTTAATGTTGCAATTTTCTGGGTTGATATGTTGGTAGTTTATGCTTTTAATATTCTGCAATGTAAATATACGTTGTTGTAATTTTGCAGTGCATTTTGGGACTATGGTTCTAATGAGAAATTAGTAACACATTTTTAAAATACATAATAATGATTATCGACATCCCAGAGAGAGGTTCACCACAACTGATAGGGTTTATAAATACTGAACCATATAGGAATAGTCCTTCTAAAGCATAAAAGATCTGGCTTTCCCAGTTATTGTCTTCTGAATAATTTAAGTTAACCTACACATTTAAGCACTGCTGAACTCATAATCAGCTTAACTGATAAGTTACATAGTGCTAGTCTCCCAATATTGATGCTAGGGAGACTTCCACTTCTTGTCTTTATTGAGAATATTGGCAATATGTTCCTCTGTTTCTTTAAGAGGGATGTAAGTGAAATAGAAGCATCAAGAGGTGACATCCCAGGGTGTTAAAGTATCTGGAAACCAACTCCCTGAGGAATATTTGAAAGGGCTGGACATGTTTAGCTTGGAGAGTAGAAGAAATGATAATTGTCTTTAGCTATCTGAGCAGCTATTATATAGAAGATGAAACACTTCTCTGCTGTCTCAGGATAAAAACCAGTGGATGGAAACTGCTGAAAGAAAGAAGGTTTGGGTTAAAAATTAGAAGAAACTTCCTAATGATAAGGGCTGATTGACAGTAGTGGGTTTCATATACATCATGGCTTGTTTTAATGATGGTTTGTTGAATAAGGGTTCACACAACACATTAAGTCAAAGCTAAACTAGGTTAAGCTTAGCACATTGTATGAATGTCATAAATGTGACTTCCCCAATGTAGGCATTCCCCTCAGAAGTATAGACTTTCCCATAAATTCCCATAAATTCTCTGCCTGGAAATTCTGAGAGCATTGGCTATTCTACCCTGTGGCAAGAGCACCTCCTTCTATCTGGCCACTGCCCTCCACAGCCATTTTTTCCTTACAAGTTCAAAACTGGAATAGTAAAAGGCTGAACTTTTTTAAAAACAAAGTTGCTCACAGAACTGTGAAATGAGAGATCTTTTAAAATAAATAAATACATTCAGGTGGAATTGACAAGAGTTCTGCCACTTTCCCTTTCTAGCCCAAGTGACAGGAAAAATGGTAAAACTCTGGTGTCTTCGTAATTTTTGTGGGTCCAGGAGGGGTAAAGAGGCAGGGGAGTCTTCTGCTCAGGGGCCATGATAAATATGGTCCAGATAAAACATCAGACCACTACCATGGGCAAAGATGAGGGAGGGCTGGAAAAGTAACTAGCGGAATATCCAAGGTGACCGTTCCCTTCCAACAGCCACATATGGAAGAAGTTTTGATGTCCACTTGAAGTCTCAGTATCAGAATGTTCACCTCAGCAACTTCAAGTTCCCAGCTATACCAACTGCGTATAGATGGGACAAGCAAATGTGTTTGTGTAAAACAAAGTGTAAATAATATACAGTACTCCCCACACAAAAAGGCAATTGGGAAAAACTGAAAAATAAAAAGTCTCTCCCTTGGGGAATCTCTCTCTCTCAACAAAAAGATTACAGTGGCAGTGGCAGCAAGTTTAATTGCAGCGTCTTGACTTCAGCTTACGTATAGATATACTGCAAGTATCCTATCTCATCAACAAGACAGCTGAAATATTGATGGACAGAATAAGATGATTATTGTATAGACATCCATTCACCATTTGCCTATACCTAAAGACACCAGTCCAAGCTCCTTATCTGTATACCCCCTTCAACCCTGGCTACCCACAAGCTTCAGTCCAGAAGATCTGGTGATTAATCTCTCGTATCATTCTAGAACATATTTAGACAAGGAATACTAGCTGGCATCCTTATAAATATTGAACAGAAGAAAGTAGATGGAATGAATTTTTAGAAATTATCTACTCCTCTGTTCTATGTTCTACATTATTATCCCCTGATCATCTAGAGTCTTTTTAATGGAAAGGAAAGTGGGGGGCAGGAGGAGAGAGGAGGAGGAAATGGAAAAGTCTCTTCATAAATCTCAGAATCCAAACTGTTGAACCAGCAGGATAGTTTGCATGATCATATTTTATAATTATATAAGCCGAGATGTGAATTAGTGTTTTGTCTGTGAACATATTCTCTTTATGTGAGCTCAGATTAATCCAGAACACTCCAGCTTCCCATAGTTTCCCAGTCTGAATGAAATTGAAAACTATGCTTACAAGTTACAGAATGGATATTACATCAACTTTAAACCATAATTTAAATATTCTGGCCTGTTCTGAGGCTCTGAACTATACATTTTCAGTTTGGACTACATGGAACACTATGATTAATTAAAAACATATTATTTTGCTTGCTCACACTTCAAAGGGAAGAGACTGTGTGGATGAACAAATAGCTAATTCATATTCCAGTTCATTAAACTTCATCTGTACAGGATTCATGTTGCCAGATAAATCAAGTTGAGGAATGAGTTTGAAATAATAATAATTACTGAACAAGCGATCAGGAAACTATAGCTTACTAAAGTAAATGGTTTGAGAATTCTTTTAGAATGACCCCTAAAATATAAGAAAGGTTTACCTAATTCTGCTTCAAACCAATAGTTTAAAATGTTCAATATAATTTACTAATAAATGATGAATCCAAATAGTATTTCAGGTAGTTCTTTAAACCCTAGTTCTGCTTTTGAAATTCTCTTAGATATAGATCAGAACTGGATTTCATACTTGGAAAGTGTGTGTGTAGAAGAAAAGAACTTTGGCTCAGTGAATATAAAGGTGCCACTAAATAAGATGATATAGAAAATATCTTGCTCCCTGAGGGGCTTGTGTTTCTTGCATGAAACCTGATTAATCTCATTAAGTAAGTTTGGGCTACTTTGGAAATTCCAGTACTCGCCACTACTTTATTTAGGATGTTGAAAAACAAGAGGGTAGTTGAGGTACTTAGAAACAAAGCAGTCTGGAAACTTTGGCACTGTTTTCCAGCAGAGAAAAGGGGAACCAGCAGGACCAAATGGAGCTGAAAGGCTTAAGAAAGAAAGAGGCTTAGCACGGGCTGAGCTGAAACAAACTGTGCTCTGTAAGAGTCTGTTGTGACAGCCAGCAGGCATTAATAGGGCTTGGGCTTGGGAATGGGGAAGGTATGCTTCATCTTGTGGCTCGGCTGCTGCAAAAAGCCAAGCGCCCTAAATAATTTAAAAAAAAAAACCCTAAAAAAGGCAAATTTGCTAATGGGTGTTCATTCTTTGTAAGGTTTCTTTCACTTATGACTTTTATGGGTTGTATATTCTGTTTTATTTCTTTGGCCAGGACCATTTCTTGGCTATAGCTCTACAGTGATCAGTGCCAAAGACAGAAATTAGAATGCACTCCAACCTCATATAGATGAGCCAACTTGAAGGGATCACTCATGTTTGGAAGCAGATGAGAGAATTGGGGAACAATGGAACTTTCCTTGTGAATATATTACCCCCTTGTACAGTCATAATAGTGACCCTCTTATGCCCAGAGCCAACTCATTTAATGCAAATTGTATGGCTGCTGGTGGTGAGTTGGGTATTTGTTTTTGTTCATGTGATTTGGTTTGTTTGTTGGGCCCAAAATAATCAGTGCCTTTGGCAAAGATTTTTGAAATGGTTGCATGGTAATATGCCAGACTAGGATCTGTTCTGGTTATGCATTGCTCAAAATGAAGCAACAGAAAATGATTCTCATTACCCAGCAACCTTTGTCTATTTTTTGTGACCAGCCATTCTCTTAGGGAGATATTATCATTCACAGGGGACTGAATTCTCAGGAGGCAACTATGAAAAGGAAGTATGGAATGATAGCAGAAGTAATTTAGCTAAGAAAGTTGCTTGTGTTTCAGAAGATGGGGCATAAAGGTAGTCTATGATTTTAAAATAATTACCTGTAATCCAAGAGATATACAATAACGCAACAGAAAAAGAAAGAAAAGAGTATGATCAACAAGTTAATAGATGAACTCTTCTACATTCGTTCATGCTTTGCAATACCAGAATAATCTACAAATACAATTAAAGTAATATATTGATGCAATAAAAAGATAGAACTATAGTGAAATCAAAAAGGGAAGGAAATAGAATAGATAAATATTAAAATTAAATTAAAATGCCTGGGAAAACAAAACAAAACTAAAAAAACCTTTGAGCTGTCACTAAATTGTCTGTAATGTTGGCACTAGTAATATCCAAATGGAGTATATTCTACATCTGGTTACCACAACTGAGAAGGTACTCTTTCCTTTATTAGTACATAAGGTGCCCACAGTCAATGAAGAAAAATCTTTCTTAACTATTTATGTGGGGAGGTGCTTGTCCAAAAACCTTTCATTGTATTCTGAAATGAAGTTACTTGATGGAAGTGCGGAAGATATTTATGTTATGGGAAGAGTCAAACAGTTCTTATTCCCAACAGCATATCAAAAGGGCCTCCTGGCTTAGCTTTTTTACCTTTCTCTCTGCAGGCGGGCTTTAACCTCATAAACAAGGAAGAATTTTCATTTGGTACATAACCATTCAGCACAAATATTCACTTAGTTTTCATCTCCACAGGGTTCAGAACAGAAGCAGCTCCCTTGTTACCTCTCAGCTGTACACAGGATCATCCCGCACAGTCCGACGCTACCCAGCTATAAATCGTGATCAGCTAATTTTCAATACACTTCCCAATGGGAATGGATTTGAACAGAGCAGTGCTGTGCCACAAATGGTACATCCAGAACCTGTTTTATCTCCCTGGGGTAAGATCTGAATAATCACATGTTTGTTTTGTTTTGTATTTTGTTTTTTGTTTTTTGTTTTTTGTTTTTTGTTTTTTGTTTTTTGTTTTTTGTTTTTTGTTTTTTGTT